TTTAGTCGGGGGTAACAAATTATTTTTGGATTTCGGGGAAATGCTACTACGGGTAATGGTTTTTCCTGTCATGCGGCGATGCTCCGCGGGTTGGGTCTGCTTCGTCATGCTCATCCACTCTCGTAGGAAACCCAGTTAGAAAACTACCGGACGCTCCTCAACATGTTTATTTCTAAAACATCGGGTGATTGAGGTCCGTCAGAAGTGAGTTGTTATTTTGGGAAATGAAAATGGCCACTTTTCCATCGTTCACGGCTCACGTAACCATCCAGTGATATTTACAATCATTTCTGGAAGTGAGTAATACTAATGCCATTGATAAATATACCACCAAGAAAAAAATATATAATATAATTACGCTTAGTATCTGTCAGATATGACAACTGAGCTAATTGACTGGATTGACCGCTAACATGTCACCTAATTTGATGGAAAAGAGCCAACTAGCAGCTACTGAGAACTCACATGCCCTCCCGTGACCGTGTGCAAATCCACACACACACACACACATCATCTCTGCTGTCAAACACAAAGGCTCCCGTGGTTTATAACCTGCACGGAGCAGCAAAGCACTTCTGCAAAGAAGCCGTACAGGCCAAATCCCCGAGATGTTTGCTCCTCTGGTCGTACGTGTCTGTGTTCCACACCTTGTATGTGACCTCGTACACGGTTACCAGCCTGACGCCACCTCAGATCCCAGCGCAGAGGCCCTCTGGTCACTTCAAAGCTGACCTTAAAACCAAAGGTGAAACAAGTCCAACCACCACTCAGCCTAATGACACGGCAACAGAAGTCTGCTAAGGGAGGGAAAAACTCAAAGGTCCCACACAGCAGCAGCAGCAACAACAACAACAAAAAATGGCCTTTTAAACACAGAAACGGCCTAAACGCGCTTTGCTCTGCCCTCAGATGTCACAGGTGCGTCCGTGTGTCCCGCCGTGGCCCTGGACGCAGGGGTGGGGCTCCTGTGTCGCCTCCTGGAGCTGTGGGGACGGACGGCGGAGGGCGTCCTCGCGTTGACGGAGTGGCTGCTGGGCGACAAAGAAGCCGGCGAGGACCTGGCGGCGGCGGCGGCGGACGAAGCCCCCGGTCTGGTGAGAAGCCGAGTTTCATTCACGCATCCTCCTTAACGACCTCGACTGACGTTGCCACGCTGCAGCGCAAGAGTGCCGACAAGCAGGCGTACCCGACGGAGGTCTCGCGCGAAGCCAACCTGATGACGGACGACCACGGAGGCCGCCGCGGATTCCTCCTCCTCAGCCGCCGCGGTGGAACAAATGGGACGAGTGTGAAATCCCCACTTCTCGGCGCTCGGCCTGTGATTCAGGGCTTTCGGTCTGGCTCGGTGTCTGTGGGGGGATTACAGGGACAGATGGCACTTTTATTTTATTTCCCTCGCCCTTGTTTTATTCCGCTCACAACGGCGCAGTAGTCACAACAGCCGAGTGCTCTGAGCCACCGAGGCCTCTGCTGTGCAGCCACAGGTTGAGCAGACGGCCGTATGAAGGCGCTGTGAGCGACGTAAGAATAAATGGTGGCCGATTGCCTAAATATCTCCGGCTGAAAAGAGCGTGTCGCTGTATTCTGGTGGATGTATTTACACAACCTGCGGGTCAGAGGATTATGTGGCGTGTGCCGTCCCAATGCGCTGAGTTTCCATTACATATGTGAATTGCATAAGAAAAGCTGCATGGAAAAAAAAGTAAGTTTGTACGTTTTGGAAACGCTGTGCACATTAATACTGATGTAGGGACCATTTAACCCACAGCACTGATCAGCTGTTCCACATATTCACATTAGTTAAACTTGCAAACGGTTGTCTTTTCCTGCAGACAACACAAAATATGGCCGCCACTGTCTGACAAGACAAATCAACCCTCATTCAAATGGTCGTGCCACTTTGTTTATTGGCCGATTACAGCTACACGTAGCATGCAGCGCCAAATGGAGGACTTTTTCTTAGCTCATCATTCTGGTTCACTGTCAACTTTCTCATCAACTCGGGTTTCAAGCAGCAGAAAAGTGTTTTCAGAAAAGGAAGAGTTAGACCCACGCAGCGCACCCTTTACCTCTAAAGAGAAATACCCCTCCAGAATGATTGTGTTTACAGATTGGCCTGTTGCTACAGCGGCAGAAAACACCCCTCATTAATACTGATTTCAATAAACATTAACCAGTAACCAGACTCCCTTTTCGCTTGTGTCCAGGACGAAGAGGACTTCCTGTTCGAGAAGGGTGACCTGAACCTGTGGGCCGAGCCGGTCCAGTGGGCGAAGCTGCTTCACGGACACGTCTGCTCCCTCATCCGGGCCCCGGGGGCCGCGTGGCCGGACCAGGGCCCGCGCATCCATCCGCTGTTGACCCGGGCCCGAGCCCAGGCCCTGAGCTCCCAGCGGGGCCTGGACTCCCTGCCTGCCCTGCCGCAGTTCTCCTCCGCCATGGAGCACGCCCGGCTGGTGCTGCGGCTCCAGAGGGCCACGCTGGCTGTGGACGTGCTGGACAGGCTGAGGTAGAGGACGGGGCCGCGGTTGTGCTCGTCACGGTTCCTTGAGACCAGACCGAGGGAATGAAGGACACGGGACTCTGTTCGCGTCTCTCACTTTGTCTTACTTGTGTTCACTGATTGCCAGATGTGTTTTTAATTTCTACGATGTCTTTTTTTAATTAAACATGACAACACTCTCCGTTCCAAAGTTTCTGAATGGAAGAAAACTCCAAAAAAGTATGCTGTATGTCAACAATACTTTGTGCGTGCCGAGGCCGTGACGATAACCCAGCGGGGGGGGGGAAGGTGTCAGACCACAAATGCCTCCGAGCGCCGTCTGCATCGAGCATGCAAACAAGCGCCGCGCTTCCTCCGACCTCCAACGGAGGTTTCAAGGATTAAAGGGTCTGGGACGAAGCGACGGCCGAAGCTTCGAGCGTCGACTTCAATGGCGCGATTGTGCGGCCGCGCTGGCTTTACAGCGCTGGCGCGGGATCGTGGAGGCAAGTGTTTTCCTCTCTCGACACGTCCCCAAAGTCGCGCTCCAGCGTTCGCTCTGACTTCGACTGTATGTTTATACAAGGTGTTATTTTTCCGCTGTTCAATTTACTGCAGGATTCTTCCCGTTGGACTGCGTTTTTATGCTTCCCTCTACTTTTCCTGGTTATGTAATTAGGAGGACGGCACAATGGACTACTGTCCTGTGTGTGCGTGTGTGTTTGTACACATGAATTTGTGTGTTGCCCTCTCACACAGCCGGACCCTTCTCCTTCCCTGGTAGCCATGTTCCCTGTTACAGTAAAACTGACGTAATGTTTTGGAACATCTTAACGCCCCCCCATAGATGAACACTTTAAAGGAACAGAGCCGTGATGGAGGAGAGCGGTTACTGCGGACGAGGACATGTTGAAGGGATTTTCTCAGCAGCCTCGGCGTGTCTGTTCTTCCCATTAAACTATTTATCACAACTGGCCAAGCAAATAGTCCTGGGGCAGCCCTCAAGACTAATTTTAGGGTTGGTAGTAGTAGATTCCAAGCTCTTATGTCACTTGTTTTTCGCATGTGTCCCCCCCGGCATCACAAACCGTACAGCACTTGAAGAAATATTGAATCATGTCATGGAGAGAAAAATTGTTTATTTAAAAAAAAAAGAATGTAGAACTATTCTTTGACTTGAAAAGCTTCATGGTTACTAGTGTCGCAGAACCTGGAAATTTCTGCAGATCCGTGTCGCACAGCGTTTTTACACCCCGCTGTCGGCTCGCTGATGTAAGTCTCGTCCTTCTGCTGCCAGCGCTGCAATCTTTCCACTGTGGGTTTTATTCTTCTCAACTTGACAACTCCCAGAGTGCAGCGTAGTAGTTTGACATTTCCATGTGAACATTCTGCCACCCTGCGAACGTTACGTCAGGCCAACTGCAGCGCGTTCTTTGATTAACAAAGAGGAGGGTGACACAAAACACCCACTGTGTCTGGGGGCTTCTGCTGTGGCAAAAACAAACGACATAAAAAAAGTCACTTTCTCTACAATCACCGCTAAATGGGATCCAAATGGGCCTTTAGGCCTGAGCCAGTTGCGGCCAGCAGGGGGAGCCAGAGTCCGTTTGGGCACGCAGTTCCCCTCTTGGCCTCGCGGGGGCAGCGTTGCTCCGCTGCGACACATTTACAAACCGCATTCTTGCAGTCGGGCCTGAGATTGGGGGGGAAAAACAAGTCATGGAGAAACTTCAAGAGTGGCTCAAAAAGAAGATTGTAACCGAAGCGTATCCGCTTTGCGCTCAGCGCGTTAGCTCGTTCTTTTCCAATCGATTTCTGAATCGAGACAAAATCCTATCGATGTTTAGTTTGAATGAGTAGCATAAAAAGGTCACGCGCTGCCGGCGGCCATGGACATGTCTCATCTGCCATGTGTAGTGGACCAGGAATAGGCCGCTGTTGCCCTGTGGAAGTCCACTACGCAACGCGCTCGGGGCAAAAAATGGGGGTTTCCATTCTGCCGGGACTCTTCTCCCTTCAAACTGGGGGTCTCACCCCATCCCAGGGGGGGAAAGGCACAGTTTCCTTCCATAACAAATGCATGTGTCAGCTTCCTAGGGGGGGGGTCCAGAGGTGGAGAAGGGGGGCCTGGCACGGGTGGTTTTTTTCTTTTTCTTTTTTTTTGGGGGGGGGGGGGGGGGGTCGGAGAAGTTGCCTTTGAGCAAGGCACAACGTGTGACCCAGGGGAGGATGTGCGTACGGTTAATTTGTTCCTGTAGAGCAGCGCGCATGCGCAGTAGACCCCCACCATGTGTTTCTGCATTCTTTCTCAGCGAGTAGTAACAAAAAAATAAAAGATAAACTTCCACAAAATTGGTTGTGTGATTAAAAGTGTGTGTGTGCGGGAAGGGAGAGGGGGGGGGTGCTGGGGTTGGATTTCAAGGCGTGGTGAAGGAGAATAGGCGGCCAACCGGTGAGAGGAGCTTTTCTCCGGGAGGGGGGGAAGAGGCGGCTCCTCGCAAAACTTCGCACCGACTTCAGCTCGCCCCTCCCCGGCCGCCGCCAGGCATTTATACCCACGCAAAAAGGCTGCAGCGCACAGTGAAGCACTCTGGCTCCGCGCTTCTCGAGGGGAGGACATAAAGCCACCTCCGACCCCACAGCACCAAACCAACCCCCCTGCTGGTTGTTGGGTTTTTTTTTGTGTGTGTTTCTTCTTATCCTCCTCCAAACTTCTGCGGACTTAAAAACTGCACACGAACTTTTTAACGGCAACTTTTTCCCTCAACCAAAACCAGTCGTGGCACAAACTACCGCTTCCGCACGCCGCGTTCAGGGACCCCGCTCGGTCCTCCATGAAAGAGGGAGTGCGGCAGCACGCTTGGGGAAACGAGATGTCTGCGACCGTCTTGTCCGCGTTCTACGACATGGACTTGCTCTACAAGGTAAAGCTCGGGCGCGTTACCGGGGGGCGCGGGCGCGCGCGCTGCATCAACGCCGCAAAGTTGTTCGACTGCATCAACTTGTTGCGGCGTCATGTGGTGGAAACATTGTGTCAATTTGCTGCCAGCCGTGCACTGCTAACTTGTGTCTTTCTCTCCCGTACAGCAAGATAAAAGCATGAACATGAACGCCCTCCACATCAACAGCATGCTGGACAAGAAAGCCGTCGGGGCCCCGGTCACGTCTCCGGGCTCCGGCTCTTTCTCTCCGGGATTTTTCCGCAGAAACTCAACCAGCAACTTGGAGGCGCTGAACAACGGCAACAAGTACTCGATGGGCTCCTACGGCAGCCTGAAGGAGAACACGCCGAGCGGCGGCGGCAGCAGCAGCAGCAGCAGCGCCGCCACGGCCCTCATGAACAAGGAGAACAAGTTCCGCGACCGCGCGTACAGCGACAACGGGGACCGGGGCGTGCTGCAGCAGAAGCCCGGCTCTCAGATCAACTCCACCCGCTACAAGACCGAGCTGTGCCGGCCCTTCGAGGAGAACGGCTCGTGCAAGTACGGGGAGAAGTGCCAGTTCGCTCACGGCTACCACGAGCTGCGGAGCTTGTCCCGCCACCCGAAGTACAAAACCGAGCCGTGCCGCACCTTCCACACCATCGGCTTCTGCCCGTACGGCCCCCGGTGTCACTTTATCCACAACGCCGACGAGCGGCGGCCCGCGCCGGCCACCAACGCCAACATGCAGCTGGGCGAGTCCCGCTCGGTCCGCGACCTGTGCAGCTACGGCCAGCGGGACTCGCTGCCGCCGCAGCTCGGCTACACCCAGAGGGACAGACCAAAGCTTCACCACAGCCTCAGCTTCTCCGGCTTCTCCACCCACCACGGGCTCGAGTCTCCCCTGCTCGACAGCCCCATGTCCCGGACCCCGCCGCCGGCCACCGCCTCCTCCTCCTGCACCTCCACCTCGAGCTTCTACGAGGACGTGCTCTCTCCCAACTCCCTGTCCTGCATCAACAGTGCCTTCGCCTTCCCCGGGCAGGACCTAAAAGCCCTGCTGGCCCCGCTGGCCGTGCACACCCCGAGCGGGTACGCCAACAACCACTCCGCCGGCGCCTACTACGGGAACGCGCAGGGCAGCGCGTGCCCGCCCTCCCCGCCGACGTACAACATGAGCCACTTGCAGGCGCTGCGCCGCCTCAGCGAGTCGCCGGTGTTCGAGCCTCCTCCCAGCCCGCCCGACTCGCTCTCCGACCGGGAGAGCTACGCGAGCGGGTCCCTCAGCTCTTCCGGGAGCCTCAGCGGCTCCGAGTCCCCGAGTCTGGACGCTGGAAGGCGGTTGCCAATCTTCAGCAGGCTGTCGATTTCAGATGACTAATCGTTATATATATATATTTTTTTTTCTTCATGTTTTCCTCTTGTGTTTTTCTTGCATATGGATTTATGGACTGGTCTGGCAGGGTTGGTCTGTGAGTGACGTAGGCTCTCCCCCAAGCAGAGAGATCAGGTTTAGCAACCGCCCTGCGGAAGGCCCTTTAAGTAAGACATGAAATCCCTAACACTGACCTCCCTGGAGGGAGGCAAAGGTGATGAATCTCGCCCCGCAGGGGATCGGTCCACCTTCGTCCACTTAAGGGGTCGTCGCCGCGCCCTTACTTAAGCTTGGTGTTTTTTCCCTTCCGGTATGTAATATAAGGGTTTTAAAACGTAGATAGCAAACAGAGGGCATTTCATCATTGCCTTGCCGAAGGGTTTTATGGGAGCCCCCCCCCCCCCCCCCCCCTCACCCCTGTTTTTGCTCTATCAGGCAGGCCCCACTGTTTTCCTGGGATTAGATGTGTGGGTTAACATGACTTGACAAGAAGAAGAGACTGTTGGCGGTTTTCAGATTTCCTCCCTTCCTGCCAAGAATATGCCTTGACTCAAAGTAACATGTGTTTTTTTCCTTCTTTTTATCAAAGTGTTTCTTCTTTTCTGAAAGCTTCAACTTCCATTCCAGATATGTCCTTTCCCAGCGCCACCCAGTGGTTTGGTTGGTTGGTCTAGTTCGTTGCTTGGATAAAAAGCACTCTTGAGTTGGGTTTGTTTGGGGAAATCACTGCTGATGGTTGAATACATATATATATATTTTTTTAGCTGTTTTGAGTGATATACATAGCTGTGCATAACTGGCTATGGACTATTTAACTTATTTATTATCTTGTGAAAACGTATAGGCTACATTGGTAATTTGTGTCCATACTGTATTTATCAAGTATGATGAAGCAATAGATCTATATTCTTTTATGTTTAAATTATGGTCGCCATTATTAATCTGCATAAAGTGGAGTGTATGTTCTTTTCACAGTAATATATATTGTTATATATTTTGTTTTTCTCTTTTTTTTGTAACTTCACTTGGTTATTTTTTATTGTAAATGAGTTAAAAAAAATCTTAATTTAAGAACGTCTGTGATATTTATTTCATTAATTTTGTTTCCCTGTTTACGTTTTATTAAAAAGTTTGCGTGATTGCCGTTTGCTCCCAAGGTTGTGTGTCAGTGCTGTAGATGACTTTTTTTGTTTTTTTGGAGGATCCTTATTTAGACGTTTCCGTAGAATGTATAAACAATGTGGTTGTACAGACCGTCCAAACCTTACTTATTTTTGTCGATCTAGATCATACTTCAGTGACAGAACCCAAGTCAATAAATTAACCAAAAAGTATTTCAATTTTTTTCCGTTTTCTGTTCGCATGAGGTCACACTGTGATTCCAGCCACGTGCTAAAGAATGTAGCAATCCCTCGTGCCCCAGTATTATTGTGTAGTGCCTATATGGGGTCACCATCTTGACATGCCTTAAAATTAACCAAATAAAGTATTTTTCCTAAATGGCATCTTCTATACACCGGTTGAACTGAATGTAGTGTTGGACTCAAACTTTTTATAAAGGTTGTTACCACTCAGACCCTGACAAAAACAACCGTAATCTCTCTAAATCCCCATTCCTCTTATTTGATTTCCTTTTGGCTCTTATGTTCTTTCTTCTATTGAAATCTAGTTGAGTCTGGAGTTTGCTGGAGAGGGAAGTGGATGAGCAAGGTTGGTTTTGTACATAGTAGGTACAGGGGGAAAGCGCACTATGTACTTTTGACTACTTTATCAGAAGTAAAGCTTTTTGAATGTAACAACGGATAAAGACAAGTTGTAATTTCTTTTTGTAATTTTATTTTTCGGGGAGTCAGTTCACTACAAATCAAGTGTGATACTGTTAACTTTGTGCTGTACATTTATTTTGTAGTTCTCCCAATAAAAATCATTTTCAAAATAACAGACTGTCCGGCTGTGATTTCCTGCACCGTGGAAGGTGCAACAGGTGCCAGGCCTGAAAACACACACCGCTGTGGTCTAGTTGCTCAGTAAACCCATCACACACCACAGCTCCTCTCCAGTGGAGCAAACGGCGCGAAAGTGTCCGTGAGGCCTCGTCTGTCAAACCAAAGAAGAACGCAACCGGAGGTCGACACAGACACACATCCACGCTCCACCAAAACCTCAGCCCCGAATCCCCCATGGAGTATGACATCATCTGTGATGTTCTGCTCTGGACGGAGGCCGATGGCCGATGCGTCGGCAACGTCTGAAGGAAGGGACGTCCGGAATAAGGCCTCCTTCTTTAGCATTCAGGGTCTTGATGCATCAGCCAGCTTTGGGACGAGTTGCCCGCTCCCCGGACGGGTTCATCGAAGCGGCTTCCTGCGGATATCGTGCGGCTGCCATGTGAATGTGTGACCTGCTAAAAAATGACAAACATGGATTCTAAAGAATAAATAAACGAAATCCAAACAAACATGAAAATTCAGTAGCAGGGGCGTGTGGGGAAATGTCTGAAACAAAGTAAACTAAACAGCAGTTGTGTCGGCCAACCAAGAGGACAGTAGACGTTATAACTGGAAACACAGCAGGCTCATCGGTGGACCCCTCACGGGACGGGGACAAGGGGGTGACAACGTCAGGGTTTTAGGGTCGCCGGGGCACAAAATCCCTCCCCCATGTGAAGGAGGCCATTCGCCGGCGGTGATAACACAGTATGACGTGAACAAAATGCCATAGCGCACTACAAAACGTGTTACACAAAAGCCATAGAGTAGTGTGCCCCGAAGCAGCCATCAGGCAGTGCACCTTCCCTCTGCAACTCCCAAGGACTTGTTGGTTTCCCAGGCAACTAGGCAGCAAATACTCGCAAAATATAATTACACAGACTGGTTTGAACGGTGCCTTATTTCACTTTCCGTACCGAGCTTTCTTCAGCTCCACGATGCTAAAATGTAACGGCGAGGAAGCAGCCGTGGGGCAACGAGTCAAAAGGGAAGTTGCGTACTGGAACCCAGAAGCACAGCGAAGAGACAGAGAACAGGCACAGTTCCATTTACTACGTCCAAGCAGGGTGAGAAAACAACAGCAAGGGGGAGGCAGAGAAGCCATGGGGTCCAGCTCAAGTGGGGCGGACCGTGAGGTGAGTGGGACCCCAGGTGAGACCCCAGGTGGGGGAACCAGTGATCATTTATCTTCCATCCATCTTTCAGTCCATGTCTTTATAAAGCAGGTTCATGGAAACAAGAATGTAATCATACTGATTTTAAAAGGAACCATATATTGTTTAAAACATAAATGTCCCCATTTGATGCACCGTACTAGTTTTTAGCTTGAATCCATTATTTTACCTGCTCCTTGCCCTCAATTAGAACCAACCAAGAACTCTGTTTACAGCGTTAAATATCTCTAAAGACCTAATGGGCCCAAAACCCCGTGGAGAAGCTGTGTGAAGAAACAGAAGATACAAAATCCATGAATTAACTTAAAATTGGGCCTATTTGGTCCATGAGCCCGGGAGGTGAAGACATGAGGGGCGCGTCGCATTGGCTCACAGCTGGACCGATGTGTCATTGGCCGGGCGGAATCCATCCCATCTGCACGGTCCTCCGCGCGGCTTCGCTCATTCATCTTCCACGGCCGGACCTTCAGAGGGCCGTCGTGGCGACTGATCTCGCCGCGCACTCTGATGTCAGACGGGCCGCGTGAATGCATCCTTGTGCGAAACTCGACACCAGACATCGATCCACAACTGATTAACTCAGCAGCTGTAAATGTGTTTCTGCTATCAGTCCCCTGAGCAGTTAAAACGGCACCTGCGGCGGGACGACGCACGGCGCCGACGGGCGATACGCTCGGCCGCGTCCGGACCAACTCCAGAGCCCGCGGCCGCTGTTTTCCTGTTGTTCTGGTGGGCCGCGTTTTTTTCCACGGCCCATTCTGAGGGGAACTGTTTTCTTCAGGCTGTTCTGCAGAGTTGACAGCGGTGGAAAAGCCTTTAAGAAAATAAAGAGCGCAGGAGTCATGCGGTGCCAGAGAGTTCACGCCAAGATAAGGCCGGATGATAACGGCCCTCGGCAAATATTTACTGTGTCCTCAGGGTTTCATAATGAAGTGTTTATCAGAGCGGAGCCAAAGGGCCGCACAATGCGCCGGGACCGGCCAAGTAGGATCTACGATCCTGTGACTCAGTGTGTGTGTGTGTGTGTGTGTGTGTGTGTGTGTGTCTGGGAAACATGAGTGCGAGTGGCTCAGTGTGTCAATCAACAAGCCCACATATGATGTTTGATTGTGTCACGGTTCATATATGTTATGTCTGTAAAAGATACGTCTATGACACTTTTCTTACATAAGGATGTGTGCATAGTGGTGTTTGTGTATGTGTGTGTGTGTGTGTGTTAGCACAGGGGTCTCACTGGTTAATGGATCTGCAGCGCCTACAATGAAAGGAAACACTCTCTGACTTGTGATTAGGGCAGGAAAAGTCCCGCTTCCTGGCCGCCACCCATTTCCACCTCTCCTCCGTCCTGCTGTTTTTCCCTCCTCCTTCAGTTTCCCTTCTTCTCTGTAGTGGCGGCTTTCGAGACGTTACTATTTGTGTTCCTCTGTTCGCGCTGGGGAGGCCCGGCTCGTCCTGGTATTGTTTTGACACGCTAAGCTTGGACCCCGGGGTCAAGTAGTAACAGCTCGTGCCTTTTTAGACGTTGCTTCCATCCCCCGCGGGTGCCAAACGGGTGGCGTTCAGCCAAACGGGGCGCGCAGAGCGGGAGTTGTTCATCATTTTTGTCCTTCCAATTTGATTCAATCCTTCCTCAGGTTTGGTGGCGGTTCATTTAGTAATGCCGTTGATGATATTCGAGGTGTAAGTGAAATCATCTTATTATAATGAGGGCTCATAGCTGATAGTGAAAGTAAACCATTTCCTTATTTTAGTCGGGGAGGGCCCCCTTCAGGCCCCTCCTGTTTCCAGTGGCCTGACTCAGCGGTTACATAAATCACTGGAGAACCCTTCAAAGTCCCCTCTGTGTGCTTATCTGAGATAGTAAAACCTTTCTGTGACGCCATTATGGCTTCACAGTTAAACAATGTGAGTGTTTCTGTGTGTGTCTGTAGAAACTGTCAGACATTCAATTAAAAAGGATTTTCTGATG